AGAATAATCTCCAGGTTAGGCCTGAACGCGCTTACTAAACACGACGAGCGGTATATCTCTGATATATTCTTGGTGGTGGAGCTAAACTAGACACTTCCCCAAAAAAACAATAATGATATCGTTAACTGTGAAATTGTTAGGGTAAAAAACTATTATATCTATAATTTGATGTTCTTACTTTAAGAAGTTGAGAATTATCTTCTCGTTTAATTTCCTTTCAGAAAAAAATGGGTTCGTTATTCAACTCAAGTCCTTCAGCATTTTCTTTGATGAAGAAATTAGTGGATCGTTTTCTTTGGAAAATAGCTGATATCGATTGCTCACCCTTGAGGTCTCTTTTGTTTACTTTGCTACGAAAGTTCCTATTAAACCGTCAGCGAGGGATTTCCAATTTACGGGGAAACTGCTCGGTCACGAACAATCCATAACAGTAGTTGTGTTCTGTATACTAGCTTATTTCTTGTTTCTTCTATCAACTTTTTTTATCATACGTGATCATTATATTGAATATGACTTCACAGTATTCATGGCGACAATGATTTATATGTCTTCAATATATTAGTATTTTATAATTTTCTCTTAGTTCAAATTATTGCAATTGATCATTACCGGAACCTATCGAAAATTCCGCTGTGTAATTGTCCCATTTACTGGTTATCTATCAAATTTTCCCCCAATTAATATTAAATCTTCAAATAAACCCAATACATTTCAGCATAAATCTCTGCAAATTTCAACGGACCGATCAGAAGGTCAATAGCAAGAAATGGGTCATCACAACTTCAATCTACCACATAAAAGAAAATTGATAGTAAAATTTCCCCTGACATTTTATAATCGTATGACATATTGGCGACGATATATTTCTTCCTAGGACGTTGTAAAAACTTTGGCATTGTTGACGCTGTAAAAAAATACGATGAATCTAGTAAAGATTTTTTTTTTTTCCTAAATCATAATAGTTTTCGTGGAATTTTCGCTAAACTTATCATTTTTTCACAGCGTTGGGGTAAAAATTCATCAGAATCAGGAACCAATCAATTGTTTTACCTTTCCGATGTGATATCAATGAAAATTTGTTTTTCAACTGTAGAAAATAATAGTTTTTTCAAATTATTCGGAGGATAAATAAATTTATGAAGGATCGAAAGTTGATTTTCGAAAACTGCTGTGGTCACGAAAATCATGTACTACATGAAAATACACATAGTATATATTAGAATCAAGTACAAAGTGTACTTAAAATTAGTATATTAATATTTTTATTTTAAATATATCACATACTTGATTGAAGTATATAGTTCTTCCGTGTGTCATAATTTGATCATCAACACATATAATGTGTGTATTTCACTGAGTGATCAATACCATTTGATCTTTGATTAGTTTCCAACATGGGAAATGAATTATTGACTCCCGAAGTTTTGGTTTGTTTAGCGGTTTTGACCTCTGGATCCTTTGTCAAGTGCATAATCGATCGTTCTGGATGACAGCAGGGGTGACCCAGGCTTGACGAACTTTGTTATTCGGTCGACGAGTCGATTAGGACACAAACAGCCTCCACCTGACACAATGCACATTATAATAAATTGTATATGGTGAGTCGACAGTGTTATCACCCGTAAACAATGATGCACGAGGTCATTGTGAGATGCTGACACAATCAAGTGGACAGCACTTGGCAATTTATGTGGGCGCTTCTCTGGTGGATCTATTAGTGGAGATACTTTCTCTCATGTCAGGCAAAACGATTGACCTCGGAAAGTCATGCGAAGATCATGGGGACAGATGTTTAGAAATTAGTGGAATTTTTTTGGCTTGATGATGAGTCAATAATTTAATCGCAATTGCATCTGTCAGATAATCACAGATACTCAATCCAATTTAACGTGACACAAATAACTCAATTTCATTAGACATTTCATCGTCTAAAAAACGATTTTTTAGTAATATCGTATTGCAAACGAAAATACTAGAATCAAGTATAAAAAAAAATATTTGATTCAATTACATATTTTGTTCCGTGGATCTTTTGAAATTCTAGATTCACCTAGATCCACCTGAGCTGTGAGTGAAACCAGAAATCTCATTCTTTTTATTTTTATACATCTATTTAAACCAGACATCAGACGCGTGTTTTGATTTGACCTTAAAAAGAGTTTCCAAAGTTAGATGACCTCAGCAGTCCTGAAACGTGATTTTATAAGTGATTCATAGAACAGATAAGGTTTTTGATTACCTCGCCGGTATTCTCGGAAATTTTCATATAAATAGAACTCATCGGAGTGGTTTTATTCTGAAAGTGCGGACATGGCGCTCAGACAATTGCGGATACACCTATACCGGAAGCAATTACCAATCGATACCAATTGACGTCTTCTTCGGGTATATTTGGAGAAGATTTATTAGCCCGGAATTATTTTGGGTTACAAAGGATCTGGGAGCTTTTGTTTCCTATGTATCCGGCTGATTACACTGCACTGAAAATCGTGTACAGATGCGGATAATGGAAGGGGGTGAATTCCCAGATCTAGCTTGACACTAATCCTATTACGGTATTACACCGCCACAAAATCCGTTTTCACGTTCGGTTAGCAACGAACAAGTGATAGACTTTTTCATGATTTTTTTTAGCACACACAAATACTGTGACACTGAATTTTACATTACAGACTGTTCAAAAAATGGGCTGAATTTTTATCTCTCTACTTTGGGAAAGTGCATTATATCAAAATTTTACTGAATTTTTCACAAATTCTTTCTTTGAGAATCCCAAATTTTGTGTCATCTGCGAAAACTAACGTTCACTATAATTTATTTCATTTTTCATTTGCCTACATTGTATTACATCTATAATTATTCTAATTAGCGATATTTAATTCATCATTTCAATCGATTTATTGATATTTTAAATTCGATGAATATCTCACACATTTGTGCACATAATAAAAACATAATAAAATCCTTGAAAGATCTCTCAGAATCGTTTTGTTCCAATTTATTTGGAAATGAGTTCAGGAATGAATCGTTGCGTTACAAAGATCAATGGACCCTCAAAACCCTAAATTAATTCCATGAAGGCATCCCGATTTCGTCATTATAGGTTCATTCCCGGAATAATTTTTAATCCACCCAACCAGTCAGTCTTCACTCTCAAATGATCAATTCATCAATTATCCCATAATTATCCACCAATCCCTCCAGCAATTCATGAATTATTCATCCAACTTATCTCTTTTTTTATTACTCCTGGAAAATCATAACAATTCCTCATCCACTGCGGTAACTCTGCATTAGCATTTATGGTTGAAATTCAACGTTGGATAGAAACTTTACCCGAGAAATTCGTCTTTCTCCGTGATAAAACCCCATCTCAGGAGAATTTTCACACCGCATTGACGCATTTTGCTCCTTCAGCCACTGCACAACTTTAATAAATTCACTTTCGAATTTTATTTTTTTCTTTCTCAAAAATTATTCAGTTAAGAATTTTTTACTGAAAAATCCAGAAATACTGAATATTGACGATTTAACTCCATGAGAATGCCTAGGAATAGAAAAAAAGTATGTAAATATTATGTAAATGTTCTTGAATTTCTAATTCAAGGGAAAATGTAGCGTAATTAGCTAATGAATATTCATGTTTCAATTTCAAAAGAAATTTTGTTGTAATTTGCGAACATTAAACTGAGATCCAAAGGCTTTCATTACAGGAAATTGAAAATTCCACTGAAAAAATCGATAGAAACTTTAAATTTGAATGCATCATACGAGACAAATTACTACAAAACCTGACAATTGAGTTCTTATAAAATTTATGAATTAATTTTTATTGGTAAACATTTATTAAATTTACTTTATCTTGAAAATTCAAAAAAATTAGTTTTCCATTAAATGATAATTGATTTTCCAATGAAGACATAAATTTTCAGACTAATCATAAAAATTGGGTATCAAATGCTATTGAATTTTGACCAAAGTCGACTCCAAGCAAGTTATGGCTAAAAATGATTCGGAAATCTTGAGATTAAATTGGTAATTTTCAATGAGTCGAGCTAAATGTCGCTCCCCTGAAAATGAGTAATAATTAATTGTGTACAAAATTATTTTATTTTTACCCGTAGATTTATAGAATTCCTCATGACTCGTATCACTTCCCTGCGGCAGCATAACTCCAGCATTTAAACCCGCCATCGCGTGTCAGGTGCACGTAAGTTGCACCTTTGTGCTGCAAAACCCCTCGAGTATTACCTTTATTCTCCTCATTATACCCGGGTGAAAGCCTTTCAGTGTTCCCACCCCACCATTTTTTTTGTCCCCTTTTCATGTTCAACACAATGTCCATTATGACGAACAACCCGGTTGCATTTGCACTTGATTTGGCATTTAGTTTTTTTCGTTCGATTGCTTCCACCGCTCCTTTGAGTTTTTCCTACTTTTCTTGGGCCTCTCACCCAGTGTTTTTCTCATTTATTCAACATGGGGGGTTAAAAAGGAGGGACCAAGGGTGAGACCACCTGTTGATGTGGAATTGAGGACTCATTCTTTACTAAGTGCGTGTGCTAGTTCTTTTCACAGTTATGTGATATTTCAGGTATGAATGGGTCCCCAAAACCTCAATGAAACAACCGATCCCGTTTTTTTTTTTCATTGAGAAGATCATAAATCATATTAAAAACATGAACAATAACGAGAGCACCAATGCAAAATTGAATTTATCTAGCGCCACTTTGAAAAGATTTTTATTATCCCCAAGAGGACATGAGAGTTGTTCCCCTTGAGTAATTCTCGAATTCAATGAGTGACGAATTCTAAAATTAAAGGATTTTTTTTCCTGATTTACAATTTAATAATTCATACGAATGAAAAATTATTCTGCGTTAATGAATAAAATATATTGTTTTATATAATTGTTGGTCATTTTTGAGAAATAGATGAATAATTTCTCAATTTCCATGGGTAGCTGATTTTTTCATTCATTATTATTTATTGTTTTACAGATTCTATTGGGATCTCTGTATGCTGCTGCTGCTCGTCGCCAACTTGATAATTCTCCCAGTTGCAATTAGTTTTTTCAACGACGATTTAAGTACCCGATGGATAGCCTTCAACTGCCTTTCGGATACGATATTCCTCGTAGACATCGTTGTCAACTTTAGGACAGGTAAATTCAATTACAACTGTTAGGTAAATTCAGAAGTTTGAAAAATTATTTTGTCAATCAAGACAATAATGATTATTATTAGCATGACTCGATACATTGACAATATTTTCCTTTACTTATAGTGGAAGGACATTTTTTTTTGAATCCGTGGTTCTAATAATTAGAAATTCCATTTTGAACTTTGCCACCAAAATGTGGGGGAGATTTTCTGACTTTTCGATTCGATCAGAGGATATTTTCTGGTGTCAAGTCTCAATTAAAAAAAATTGTCAATTAAAAGAAAATGCCGGCTGTTTTAGATCTTTGAAAAAATTCACACACTTGTATTACGAGAAAAACCCCCTGAGGGTTCATGAATGGAACTAAGAAATTCACGTCAACCACGTCTATTCACTCTCAGCAACAATAACACTATTGTTTCACACAGTATCAAGGGACACACTCAGTGTGGGCCTCCTTGACATTTCGTTATTACCCGGGGATTAATTTGATGCACGTTTGAGTGGCGCAAAATGTGAAATTGGGTCGTACGAGACTGTCTGCTGATTCGTGCTGTCTATTCCTCTGCTGAATCTATATTCGACAAAAATCATTGTCCATCCATCTGCACCATTTGATTAGAATACACTATTATAAAAACAATGAAATTCCACGGACAATCGGCTACTAATTTTCAAGACATCAACACGTAAGTCCATTCACAGAAATAATTGCTGGTTGTGTTAAATTCTCATTGAAATTTCATGACTTTTTTGGAATAAAATTAAACACACGGGCGACAGCAGTTATGCGACTGTGGATGAGTTATTGATTCAAATGTACGCACACAAAATACTATACTTAAAATACGAGATTTAGACCGTAATTTCCAGGATTTCAGATCTCGAGCATTGCGAGTTTAGAAACGTAAATTACAAGCTAAAATCACGTAAATTACGCCCAGAAATGCCGTACATTACGATTTTCATGTCGTAAGTTACGATTTATTTAGTGATTCAATCGAAAAAGTAAAAATATCTTTATAAAGATCACTGTCAACTTATATAATGTAACTAAGGCCCGATTTTGCGAAAAATTCTCGTATTAAGAGAAAAAAAATCAAACACATTTTTGGAGTAGTTCTGTCGTGTATATTATACGCGACAGCATCGGCATGTGACGTCACACCGGTAAAACCTCCACTTGGCCGATACGCAGTCGCGTATCTTGATTCCGAACTCATGAATGAGGAGGCCCATATTGTGAATTACAAGTTACGAACTCGGGAATTACGGGGTCCGACCCCATCATTTACACTCCCTTTCTCGTCATTTACGACATCTCAATCAGGTAAAATCTGTGATTGGGATCGTAAATATAAGGACACATATAAGAAAAGCTTTTTTGGGCAACATTAAATCTTGTAGTTTGCGCATATTTTGGATTATCTGAACATGAATTTCAGTGCCTTTTCTCAACATTAAAAAAAAAATGTATTTTTCGACTTCAGACCATTCTGTATCGTTTTCGAGCAGAATGCGATTTTTTTCTTTTGGTCGGGATTGACGATTGCAATGCAAAAACTATTGAACATTTTTATATTCCACAAAATGGGATACATGGACCACAGTAACTCTATCCAGGATGATGAAGGGTGGCCAGTGCTAGTGGGCCGTTATTGCGACGAGAAAACGGTACCCTGGGGAACTCCTTAGCAATATCAGCCTCGGTTATACCGCCACATACCAAATTCCCTATCTATTTCCGGCTTCATCACCCCCTTCTCATTCCTCATATCACCCCCTCACCGCCCCTTACCACCCCCTGCCGTGCCCCCGCGACCCCGTGGGAATTAATGGACCGAGAAAATTAAAAGTGCACATCACATTTTTTAATAAATTAATTCTTCCAATTTTCATACATTTTCCCCTATAATTAACCCTAGAATTAATTTGTCTCATCCGAAAACCTTATCATCTAATTTTCCAGAGGGGTCTTATTTTTCTCGGAAATAGTACTAGAACGCCAAATTTATTATTTTCATTAAGCGGAGAATGCTTAATATATCGAAGAAAATTTTAATTTCCAAATTACTTCGCAGTCTTTAATGTGAAATAGTATTTTTCACGCCTAGGACGGAAAAAGGGAATCTGACGAATGCGACTTTATAGTCCGAGTCGGAGACGAGGATTATAACACGCATGAGTCAGAATCACTTTTTTCGCCGTGGCTATGATGCTATTTTATGTCATTGTGGCCGAAAACGCGTTTTTATCCGAGCAAAGCGAGATTAGAAACGCGTTTTACCGGCCGCAATGACATAAAATACTTTATTTTGATGAATATTCGCAACGCAAGAGAATTTCAAATCAGATTCATGGCAAATTCGCAATATGCTAAACTCCAAATAAATATAACCAGTAAAACATAATAGAAGTCTGAATAATCGCAATAACTTGTACACAACAATATTATCTCAAGCGCATTTATTTGAAAAAAATGTTAATATTCAATTTAAGTGCCAGTTCACCTGCGATGGCCATATAATAATTTTTAGTGCACGTATATAATCCATTAATGACTAATTAACTCGAAGGCGAGTATCCCCCTGACTGCTGCGTCTTGTTACAGGTATAATGCAGCAGGACAATGCGGAGCAGGTGATACTGGATCCAAAATTGATCGCGAAACACTACCTCAGGACTTGGTTCTTTCTCGACCTCATTTCCTCCATCCCCTTAGACTACATATTTCTCATATTTAATCAAGTAAGTACAGTACATTTATTCTTCTCCCGAAAAAAAATTAAAAAAAATGAAAATCACGTGGGTTGTTTCATCAGCCTAAAGGTGGGATGTAATTCCACCTCACTTACACTGATTGCATTCCCCCAAAGATTCTTTTGTTGAAAATCCTCTACATTATCAGTTCCAGGACTTTAGCGAGTCTTTTCAACTGCTGCATGCTGGACGTGCACTGAGAATCCTCAGGCTCGCCAAACTCCTGTCACTCGTCAGATTACTACGACTCTCTAGACTCGTTCGTTATGTTTCACAATGGGAAGAAGTCTATGTAAGTGTCCAAACAATATTTCCTTATATTCAATCCGCTACCTGTGTTTATTTCAATCTCTATTATATCAACATACACTTTAATGGAATATTCGTGAATATTATCAGAGCTCTGAGACTATTCAATTAGGATAATAGAATGATAATTACGCTCCACATGACTCAGAAATATCCCCAAAGTTTCTATTCTAAGCTGAATATGAAAATTGAATAGAAAATGCCCAACAAAAATAATCAAGAATCCATAACTTCAATTTTTTTTGGGTTTTCACAATTTTTTTGGGAATTATTAATTGTAATTTTATTCTGGTCGAACAATTTTCATATTTATGCAGTGATTACCTTATCGATAAACGAGTTGTCCTTTAGGAGAGATAGAGAAGTCAGTAGAACAGACATCAGACATTCATCACGATGTACACAACTAGAAGAGTCGCTCGCAAATGTCGAAATACAGAGTGAAAAACATTCACAACAGATACGAATAAAAACGAGTTCGGAGTCTAATCAAACGCTGGTCGAAACGGAGTAATTAAAACTTCACCCATTCGTTATTTCAAGGTCAACGCGTATTGAAAAAGTGCTCTCGAACCGGTGTATTTCATTTTTATTCAACGATTGTTACTTTTTTTTTCGTTTTTCAGTTTGTTTTATTCATTGCCACTGTTGTCTTTTTCTCTGGCTTGGCTTTGTCACTCGTTAGTGCAAATAAAACAGTCAATAGAGGCACATGCCACGTGGTACAGGCCAACGAATCAATCAGGCATTATTTCATGGTAGCGAGGAGTGGATCAATTGTTTTGGAAATCATGGAGGGGTGGATGTTTAATGCTGATGGAACTATTCATAATTCAATAGTCATAATGTAGGGAATTGGGGGAACGTCATGAGTGGAGTGATTAATTGTCATGATATCGTCTGATCGGAGAATTTCATTTACAATTTCTATTCACTTTTATCGAAAATTTTGCATTAGCATTCACAAAATGTGTTGGAATTCCCCGGGGTACTAGATGTGTCGTGAAAATTCTTAAATTTTCCCCTAAACTCATTCAATATCAAGATAATCCCATAATGAAGAAGATGGAAAAAATCGAGCGATTCCTTCACGTTCTGCACGTCACTCCAGAATATATTTCCTCCAATAATAGGAATTCCTCGAGTGGCTTTATTTTTAATTTTCCTCTCACGTTCCGACTGTAAAAAAAATTCTCCCAAGACGGGATTTTCCCTATTACTAGGTGAAAATACATTCGAATTCATGAATTTTTCTATCAGTACAAAACGCCACATTATTCTTTTTAATCCACTCCTGTGGTTGCGAACAGCAGCCAGGTGCAAACGACGACGGACACGAGTGAAATCCGAGTGATCGATGACTCGCGCCACTCGATCGATCATTCTGATTAATAGAATTCCGTAAAAATCCCGGAGATATTCTCTGAAAAAGTGATGAAAAAAAAATCGGGGCAACTCCTCTAAGGACCTCGAAATAACAAGACCACTCGCACCTCTACCTTCTCTGCATTTCGACTTTTATTCTGCTCTCGGTATTGTCACGGTGATTTTGCCACAGTTGGCAGTGAATCCAGAAGAAAAAATCCCTCCGGACTGTATTATTTCGAGTTAAACACGCCGCGACCAACGTCTCACGACAAAAGCTTTTCTCCATTACACGCAATTTGCTTTAGTTGTACTGTTGTCTCATGCTCCTCATTTTTTCTTTCTTTATTCCCGAATTACCACTCTGGTACAGGTTTTTTTCAAATTATTTATTACTCTTCTCCGTCTGTAATGGGGAGAATGGAAAACTCAACATAATTAGAAAATTACTTTGGAAGTTGCACATACATTAATTTCAAAATTGTGAGACTTCAGGGACAATTCATTAGCTTTTAAAAGAGTGGCATTTAGTTGGAGTTTGGGATGAAAGAGTTATGAAATAAAAATTGCCAATGACAAATCAGTTAACGTCTCTATTTTTCAGAAACAACAATCGAAACACATTAATTTTTTATCTTTCTAATTACTCCATTTACATAATGAGTTTATAAATTCTAGTTACTATTGAAATATCCATGAAAGTCTCAATAACCAAGACAGTTTTTGTCCTGAAATTTAAAAAACTCCACCCATTACTGATATTTAATTCTCCATCAGAACTTAAGAATAACTCTAGATCTCCCGAATAGAAAATGAACTCAAAAGCTATTTGCTTTTATTGTCCCCGACGTCTTTGTAATAAACTAGAACAATAGAAAATTTTAAAGTACACTCTTGCTGGCACGAGGCTCATTTTTAATATTTTATAATTTATCAATCACTCAGATTTTCACTGCACATAAATTCAAAAAATATCTCACATGTCTCGTTATTCAGTCATACAAAGAAGTAACTTAAAAAATACCACGAATACTCCGAATACAATCATTAGCATAAACGCCACATTATTTCATAATATTTATTGCATCGCCATGAAATATGTCTCGTCAATAATTTTCACATCATCTCATTGCTGCTGTTGCCAATACGTAATTGCCACATCCTGGTCCATCATGTACATGTACCTCAGCCCCTGTGTAGTGAATCCCAGTGGATGAAGAAGGATATAATTAAGAAATTATTAAGACATGACATGGTGATTTGTCTTTCTGGGCCTTGCGAACACGTTTCGAATGGGTTTGCAGATTCCCCTTTATCAACAGCCGGAGAGGCACTACGAGAGAAGGGCTACACCGCCCCAACCAGACAGAACGAGCAAGGTGTGCCTGCCTAGTAACCCTCATTACCAAGGCCAAATGCCCTTTTTATCTTGACTAAATCGTTCGTTAATTGTTAACAAAAAAAATTAATGTTTCTACGTCTATTTAACGCATAGATTGTGTACTATGTATATTTTTTTCTCTTTCACGTTTTGTTCATTTGATTTATATTACTTTTCTTTCATTTTGTTCTTTATAATTATTGTTTTCTTTAGTCTGTTTATTTGGTTGATTTGTTGATTGGTGGTAATGATCATGATGATTCATGGAAAGTTGTGGGTTTTTGAGGCCTTGGGATTAATAATCGTTAACACTAGAGGAGTTGTTCTTACAATTAGTCTGTGTGGTGTCGGAATTTTGCATTCAACATTTCAGAGAAAATGAAAATTCAGAAATTACAATATTTAGGAATAATTCGTGTTTGAATTATTCATTTTCTCTGGATTATTATTTCGTGTTTGTTACCTTTTTTTAGTGACTTTTTATTTTTCTTGATTTTATGGATTTTATTCTCGAGATGCGCGTTGAGAAAACTCGTTGAGAAGACTGCTTCTTCAATTGTATTATCATTTCATTCTGTTTTAATTAATTCTTGTTTTATGTGATGTTGATTTGCAAACTATTATGATTTAATTGAACAAGAAAACGGATAATTGTTCACGTAGTATACGGATCGTACCACCCATTGCAGAGCAATTACACTGTAGAAATGTTTTTATTAGCCATGAAAATAGTGAGATTTAACAGCAAGTATAACATTTGCTCTGTAACGAGTGGTATGAAAAGTTATTACTGCCCATGTACCTGGGAACTATTTGTTATGACGTGTGTCATGTTCAACGGAGGTCTTGTTGAAAAGTTTCCGATGTAGGATTTCTGAGATTAACATGCTGTAGAGCCTGTCAGGCATTCTCGCATCGAGCCTTCAATGCTTTCATGCATTCAATTAATCAGAAGATTGCAGAGGGTTGATGGAGAAATGGGGAGAGGTGATGATTCAAGGAGGCTCGATGCCTGAATCTCTAGATAATCCATTAATGAAACACCAGTTGGTGTCATGATCAACTAGGTCTGCCTGTCAGTGTTATTAGGATTTGAGAGAAGATGAGAAGAAAATGTTTGCAATTTGATGATATTAGAGGATGTGTTTTCGTCGTTATTGTTTGTCCTCAAAAATTGCCTTGTGAATGAGTGTAATACTTATGTACATATACTTTCTCTGGTGTATCAGCCAGAAGTCCTGGCCAAACCCATGGAGGTTGGTCATTCCTGGAGATTAATAGGGTACAATATCACTCACACGTGACCCCCTGCTTGCTGCCTCGTGTCATTTGCTGCTTGATTACTGTTTTTCATCCTCAGATCGTTTACAATGAGTTATCCTTTGATTTTCTTGATCATTGTGGTAGTACGGTGATGCACATGGTCATAAATTGCCTGTTTTGCCCCTTCCTTTCATTGTCTCATTGGGTTTGTTTGTGGGAAGGGGAGGGCTTAGTCTTATTGTAACATTCACTTAACGTAAATATTAATGCGAATTATTTATTAATGATCATTACACAATGCGACAAGTGGAAAAAACAGAGCGTCCGGTTGAAACCGTTTACGTGATCACATTCAATTACATAATCATCCGAAAAATTATTCACAATTGATTGTTTATTTTCAGGCTATTTCTTCCATTTTTTTACGTTAAAAATCACATCACATAATACAATACTCGGTGCATAATTGAGCAATTCATTGCTCGCCCGTACTCCCACCGTTAAATGGGAATAAAAATATACAAGCGACACTAGACAGTCGGCGAATTGAATGAAAAAATAACTGCACTTCCGGTTCGCAGAGAAAAATGCATTATGGAGATTTACAATTGAATTTTTACTCATTGGCGATAAATGTTTATGGTGGTAATGGTCTCGCGTGGCCCTACGACTCTCAAGGGGACTTCAACGGGTTGAGCATAAATAATTAATCTTAATCGTCTTTTCCCTCTGCAAATGAGAATGGCGAGAGTGCAAGGTGTAGTTAACATTCTAATTATGACTTTACGCTCCTTTACTCTTTCATTATGCAGACGTAGAGGCCAGGAACAATAACCTCTTTACACAGTACTCCCACTCGATTCTCTTATGCTTGGGAGGACCAGAAAGAATGAGGGTTTACTCTCATTTCGGATGGAAAATTATGAGATTAAATTTTAAATTAAAAACAACATCACGGGGGAATTATTCTTCTT